GTCATGGAGAAGGCGCTGGAAATGGCGGAAGGCATCCAAGTGACCGGCGCGCCTGTCCGCACCACGAGAGATGAACTGGTTGCCAAGGTGAAGAAAAGAGGCATATCAAGTAGCAATGGTTAGCAGATCATAGCTGTGACAATACATAGGAGTCTAGAAAATGCTTGTTTGCGAATGTTCTCGGTTTACCTCGGGCTTAGAAAAGTAGTCGAAATCGTTAACTTCTAAAACTCTGTGTTAATCCTTTCCCCTCTCTGCTGTTTTGTCCTCACGTAATACCCGTGAAATAGATGCAATGCATAAGCATTCTGTTGGTAATGCAAAGCTCTTGTTTTGCATCTCTACAGCTGGTGCACTTTAAGCTGATTATTGTTTTAATGTGATGTAGGCTATTGTACTCTAGCTTAAACTCTTCTTACTTTGTCTTTAGTGCTAGTCTGACGTTTCTTTGTGAGAAACTTAGTTTCTTGAAGAAATTCTTAAAGCTGTATTTTAATGATGTTTTTCTGATATTAGTAGACAAAATAGACTTTTTTTTTTTTTTTAGATCAAATAGTCTGTTTATTGTACTCTGGTTGTTTTTGGTTTGGACTTCAAGAATACAAATACATACTTGCCTATGAGTCCCAAGCCAAAACCTGAAATCTTGCACCTGAGCATTTTTAGGTTTTTGTCAAAAAACACTAAAATATTCTGAAACATTGGGTTAATACTTGAAATTGCAGTTCAAGTTGTATTCCTAATATATACCTTTTAGATTCACAGAGATTATTGCTAGAATTTTTTAGAAAACGCATAAATTGTCTCTAGATGGATATTTCATAGTGCAGAAATTAAAGAGGATAACGTACTTTACTTGTTTTGCAGAAGGGGTAGAGGAGCCCTCCAAGAAGCGAGCTGTTGAGAAAAGCAAAGAGTCGAAGGATACTGGAAAGGACATGAAAACAACTAAGGCAGAAGCCCCAAAGGAAACAGAGAGCGCATTGCCAAAAAAGCAGGAAAAAGATACTAGCAAAGATCCAGAAAGCTCCCAGTCAACTTGCAGTTCAAATCAAGAAATGGTCACACCATCAGACGTAGAAACAGAAGCAAAACCAGTTAATGCTGAAAACACTACTGAGCAAAATCCATCTTCATCTGAAAAAGTGTCAGGAGAGAAGCCTTGCTCAAATCCACCTAAGGAAAGCAAGTGTGAAAATGTGCCATCGCCTGAAAAGAAAACTACAGTAAGTGCAGTGCCACCGGCTGCCAAGAGTGCCCCGCAGGCAGCGGTGGTGCCCCCGGCCGCCAAGAGCAGCCCGCAGGCCGAGACGGTGGCAGCAGCGGTGCCACCGACCACCAAGAGCACCCCGCAGGCAGCAGCGGTGCCACCAGCTGCCAAGAGCACCCCACAAACGAGTGCTACATTGCTGTCTTCCAAAACCCCAGCGAGTGCCCCAGCATCGGCCCCCAAGAGCGGTGCTCAGGCAGGTGCCTCGCTGCTGCTGGCCCCCAAGAGCAGTGCTCAGGCAGGTGCCTCGCTGCTGCTGGCCCCCAAAAGCGGTGCTCAGGCAGGTGCCTCACTGCTGCTGGCCTCCAAGGGCACTGCTAAGGCAGGCTCCTCGCTCCTGGCTTCCAAGAGCAGTGCCGAGGTGGCTGCCTCGTTGCTGGCTGCTCGGAGCGGCGCTCAGCAAGGATCCTCGCTGCTGGCTTCCAAGAGCAGCGCTCAGGTGGCTGCTTCGCTGCTGGCTACTCGGAGCGGTGCTCAGCAAGGTCCCTCGTCGCTGGCCTCCCGGGGTGGAGCTCAGGCAGGTGCTTCCCTGCTGGCCTCCAAGGGTGGCACGCAGGCAGGTTCACCGCAGCTGGCCTCCAAGAGTGGCTCGCAGGCAGGCGAAAGCCCTGCTAAGGCTTTGTGCAAACCATTAACCAGTGAAGATGCAAAGGAAAGACAGCCTTTTTTCAACAGACTATACAAAGCTGTAGCCTGGAAACTGGTTGCTGTTGGAGGCTTCAGCCCTAACGTAAATCATGCAGAACTTCTAAACTCGTCTATTCAGTCTGTCAAAGCTACATTGGATGTTGCTTTTGTTCCCCTGAAGGAACTTGCAGACTTGCCCCAAAATAAGAGCTCTCTAGAAAATATAGTTTGTGAACTGAGGTGCAAGTCTGTCTACTTGGGTACTGGCTGTGGTAAAAGCATGGAAAATGCCAAAGCGGTTGCTTCAAGAGAAGCTTTGAAATTGTTCCTCAAGAAGAAAGTTATTGTGAAGATATGTAAAAGAAAATACAAAGGTAGTGAAATTGAAGATCTGGTACTTCTGGATGAAGAATCAAAACCTTCGAATTTACCTCCAGCTTTAAGAAATCCTCGTGAGATCTTGTAGGGGGGAACCGCTGTTTGTACCGTGTATAGTATTTCAAGACAAGGACTAAAGGTTAATTTTGTACTTTAAAGATGTAGGCTTCCAGATATTTTGTATTTCTTTCTCAGTTTTGCAAGACAATGATAGCCCTTTCACTTGGTAGCAATTGTATAAAACTTGTTAGAGATGACAAGTGCGCATCTAAAGGTATGCCTTAATACATAGCACACTAGTGTGCTGTTTTATTTGCAGAATAGTCTACCTAATTCTTCTATTTTTCATGAAACAATTAAGGTACAATTTGCTGTTTAAAACCTGAAAATTTTGTAATTCTTACAATTTGATGGCAGTGTGCTCAATTGTCTACCATGTCTTTTTTTAGCCACATAGAAGTATGTATGTAGGGACCATGATACTTGAATGATTGAAAGCTGTTTAAAAATTTCAATCAAAAAGTTGAATCATCTGTTTCAGGCGTGTTGCTCATAGTGTTCACTGTTGCTCATAGGAGGAGAGAAAATAGTTGGTTGACTATTTTTATGGGCTGTCGTAACTCTCGCAATATAAACGACAGCCCGATCCCATTCAGCGTTATATGAGCAGGTTAGATCGCGTTTAACATCATACTGGCAAATTAGCGGTTAGCAGTCAAGCCGCAGCTACTTCAGCCACCAAAACTCTGTAAGCGTATTTAATTTCTGTTGTGAAATACCATTTATGGTTTTTTCAAATAAACATAGATTTCTATGCTAAGCATCTTTTGACTGCTACTAAAACAATAAAACCTCTGGGATGTGCTTCTACAGTACTTTGGTTTGGGCTATTTAAATATTCCAGCCATTTCAATGACTTTGCAGCACCCTAAGAGAAGCTTTACTTTGAGCGGCTTCAAGGTGTAATCCCACCAGGGTGAGCTGTTTTCTTTCGATGAGTAGCTGAAATACTGTAAAACTGATAGAGTGGACCTATGGAATATCTATTTCTACTTTTGTAACGCTTACCAAGAGAAGCAAAATGGAGAGGCTGCTGTCTGCTAGAGACAGGGAGCGTGTTGTAAGGCGTTCCGGCTAACCAAGCCCTTCCTTTTGCGACGTTTTTACACGATGTACAGAGTGGTTTGGAGCAAGGAAAGTGGGAGATTACCTTTTATTTTCGATGTTACTGAAATACCTGCACAAACTGCATGTTTTGATATGTTGGATAATGACATGTAATTGTAAAAACATAATGTCTTCAGTGCTATCTTGAATTAATCTTGTCCGATTACAGTAGTTAGCGTCATTTAATGGAGTTCTTACACTTGACTGACAGATCCATCCATCGAGTACTACGGGAGTGGAGAGGAGCTCCTGGGATCTCAGTAGTATGTATGTCCACTCAAAGACTTAAAGTTCCTTTGTGATTTTGGGACTGAACCACAATGGCGTTCTTACACTGTACTCAACGTGATTTTGAACAGCGGTGGCCGTCTGGTCCGTAGCCATAGCGCCTGACGCTGGGGGGGCGCTCCCCGCCCC